CATGTATGGTTATGAATATGTATGCATGTACCAGTTATGAATAAATCTAAAGTCATAATAAACTCGAAATAAACCCATAATATTTTCTGCATTAATTAAAGCATATAAAGCATAATATTGCATCATCATCTTCCACGTCCGCTCAGTTCTTCAATATTCTTGCCTGGAGTCTGAATATTCTTGCCTTCTCTAAAACTAGCATGAAATGAGTTGATATCTGCGGTAGTGACTGAAGTTACAATCTCCACAGCAGCAGTGTGCCGCTTTGAACTTTGAGGGCAGTATTTTTTGTCTTAATGCAAACATTTGATTTGGTTTGAGTTACATTTCTTATCAAGACAGCGGCAGCAGCATGAAGCCCATTTAGCGTGACTGCATGTGTGATTTATGATGTCCACAGGGAAAAGTGGTCACATGTGGATGTATTTGTCTGAGGTTTTTGACCAGCTTTTTGAAGATGCTGCTTTGTCATTGTGGTTTTGAAAAATGCCACTGCAATCATTGTGCTCCTATAGCTGCTGGTACGTGTCACGGAATGAAATGAAACGAAGGAGGACCAAAAAAGCAAGAATGTCAAAAGAATAATGATAATGAGGAGGATAATAAGAATAAGCATTTACTTTGTCCAACCCCTTTTTAAACTGTATATTTCAAATTGAACATCTGTATCTTGTTTGTTTTGTTACGCTGTATGAAAATATAAGTTTGAAATAAACACTTACGTATTTACTATTTCATGAATTTTTTGTTTAAAGTGTAGGAGAAAAGCAAACACCAAAAATCCAAATTAAACACTGGAACACATACTGAAGCTGTGTCCCGACCACCGACGCATGGACGTGTGCTCACTAAATTTCAGCTGCGTGGCTTTAGTGTATCTGTCATACTCGCCTGTGTTGTGGAAAAACTCGGGGCGGAAGTGGTGGGCGGGGTTTGATGCTAACGAGTTTACTAACCGTACTTCCGTATCAGCAAACACGTTAGCAGCACTTGTTCACAATCACAGTAGAATGTGAACTCAGGGTGAAGACGTATGTAAGCCCACACACAAAAACTGTCAGATACCCTAATGCATTTCAACACAAACTTTAATCTTTTATAACTATTTGTATTAGAAATGAAGACGGAGGCAGCAGCACCTGTAACCTGGTTTATAATGAAAAATAGATGACGAAGCTTTTTATATGATTTGTATCAATGTGCATAAGAACAGACATGTCAGACGCTTATGAATAATGTCACGGATAAACAAGGAAGAATCTAAAAGCAGAACTGCAAAAAAATAATAATCTAATGAATGTCACAAAAAAATAAATCCAAAAGCAGAATCCAGAAACAACAATGGACCGTCAACCAGCGGACAGGAGAACAGGGTCTAAATACACACAGGTAGATACAAGTGTAGCACATCAGGGCAGGGCAAACGATAAACAAGACAGACAGGAAGTAAAACTCACAACAAGAGAACATAAATATATCAAAATAAAACCAGATAAATTAACAGGAAGTATGACCAAATAATAATAACGCAGGCTTCAGATATACTGTAGATACTAATAACAATCTGGATCAGAACAAATACTTTCCTTTCTTCAGATGATAATGTTTAGCAGTGAGACAGATATAACAGAGAACCACAGTACAAAAGATGCAGGTCAGATTTCACATATTTAATAAGTTACAAAGTCCTTCATTACTGAATCTGCCCGCCTCATTTTACATTGTTTTAGTTTGAAATTCAGTTTTAGGTTGTGCAGTTTTACATCTCCCTGCTTTAGCTGTGGTGTTTTGAGGCAGTTGCAGTCCAGGGGCAAATCTGTCCTCAGGGAACAACCAAACTAAATGTTCATTATCAACTCCCCACAGAAATCGTCAAACCCGTGTTTTTACTTTGTTGACGAACACATTTCCCTCGACGCTTGGGAGCTGAGTCTCTCACTCTTTTTTTTCTCCTCATTTCACTGAACAATTTTGTCCCACATGGCTTTCCATCCATTCCCTCCTGATGTGAGTGTGCTGTTCAAGTTTGACAGATGTTGCAGAGCTTATATTCCCTGGTAAGGGCTGTAATAATACAAATACATGCATAGTGGTGCGTAGATTCACCCTGACACATAAACACATACAGTACTTGGCAAAGCTTCCCTATTTTTCAATGATTTTTTTAGTGATTGTGGGGAAAGGGGGGAAAAAAATCCACCTATTCTACCAGGAAGTCATTGGTTATAGTTAAGAGATTCTTTTTTTGTCCCAGAGTGGGTAAATGTCAATCTTACATCACAAGTTACAGAACAGTAGGAGTGAGGAGCAGACAGCACAAGATACATGAATAATAACTCTATATACTAAAAAAAAAATGAAGCATGAAGAAGAAACAAGCAAAAAATTTCTATGTTTTGCATAATGAGTACAAAAAACTCAGACTTTAGCATAATAAAGAAGTAAAAAATCTCTACCAAAATAAGAAGCGAGTATAAAGTACTGTGTATTCTAGTGCAGGTAATATATATTATAGTATGTTTACATCTGTACATGTCAGCAGCATGAGGGTCTGGGACACAGTGAATAAGTAGAGCAACAGTAGTACATGTGGTTCTATATTGCACATTCTGATATTAGTTCAAGATATTGCACCAATGCATGACATGTGAGGTCACGTCGGCAGTGTTCTTTTGTCCTCAATGTTTGTTGTACAGTCTGAAGGCAGCAGGAGATCCACCCTGACACATAAACACATTCAGTACTGGCAAAGCTTCCCTATTTTTCAATATGTTTTCAATGATTCAGGGGAAAAGGGCAAAATAAACCTACAGTACTTATTCTACCAGGAAGTCATTGGTTATAGTTAAGAGATCCGTTATTTGTCCCACAGTGTTGCATGACAAGTTACAGAACAGTAGGAATGAGGAGCACACAGCCGAATATACTCTGTATAAGGTGTCTCCAACCATTTCCACCCAGAGAGCTAAAGGTAGAGAGCTACTCCATTTAGCAGCCCTGGGAAAAATGTTGTGATAAATTGGTGTAAACAAGCCTGATATTGGGTACAACTAAGTGCATTTACAATAATAAATAATGATAATGAATAGTACAATCTGAAATCTGAGTATATTATTTGATTTGTTCATTTCTAAATCCTTAGGCAAGCTACCTGGAAGAGGGTGGGGAGCTACTGGTGGCTCCCGAGCTACAGGTTGGAGACTCCTGCTCTATATATTGATACTAAGTATACTGAAATAACTCTAGAATAAAAAGAAACAGTACAACATCTCTTTAAATAACATAATATGTAAAGAAGTCTAACATTTCCAACTTTAGCATGATGAAGAAGAAGGAATTAAATACAAAAACCTCTGACTTTAGCATAGTAAGGAGCAAGTATAAAATGCTGTACAGTCTGTGTGATTTCAAATTCTGCAAATAAGAACTAATGTAATAATTCTACATGAGCGTATCTGAAAAGGCATGTATTAGCTCATCTAGCAGTCTGTATTACAACAAGCTGATCCTATGAATTTGCTTGAATATTTAAACAGTTTTATCTCAGTCCCAAACAGGCACCCAGCAATGATGTTTGTGGTTCCTGATGTATTATTAGCAGTTGAAATTGAGGCTTGTATTTTCTCACAATGGCAGGAGGTGGTGACGCAACGTGATGATTTGTGATCGAAGCTGGCTCATTAATTAGAGTCATTAAAGCTATGAGCCCAAAGCACTCACTCTCGTTCCCTCTGCTGCAAAATAAGACTGGGCTCTGAGGGCCCGTGCGTCTGCAGACACAGCTGGTCAGTCTGTCTTCACGCTGAAGGAAGAAGAGGATTGAGGTAATAGGTGCTGGTGATCAAGACGTTGCAAGGATTGGAATACTGACTGAGACTGAAGGATACAGCAGGCTACGTGAAAATACAACTGAGCCGTGCGCAGTTAAGATTAAGACATCCTTTAGTTGTCCCGCTGGGGGGGAATTTCAGTGTTGCATTATAAGTTACAGAACGGTAGGAATGAGGCGGACACAGCACAAGATAAATGAATGATAACTCAATACTAAAATAAAATCTCTACTCTAGCATAAAGGAAGTACAACGAAAAAAGTCCTCAGCTTTGGCATTGTGAAGAAGAAAGAAGAAAGAGTTTAAAGTATAAAATGCGGTATATTGTAGCGCAAGTACAAATATTGTGTGTTGACTTTTGAGTGGAGGTGGATTGGTACGGTAAACAAAATCAAATTTTATTTGTATAGTTTGAGTGGTTTTAGTTGTGTCTGTCCTGAACCTGTGTGCTTTTGCATGTGCTGTTAAAAATAAATCAAGTAAAGACCCACATGTTCATCATGGTCCTCACAGGCTCTGTCTACACACTGCAAAAAGAGGTAATCATTTCTTGAATCTAGTGATATGTATCTTAGTTTGAGAACATTCTGACTTCTTGAAACAAGATTTGTCCGAGCAATTTAGTCTTATTTCAAGAACTGTTGTTTTATTTTCTCATCCCAAAGGAGATATTTCTTGTATCTTTTTAAAACAAGATCCTTTTGCTTGTCCCATTGGCAAATGTAGTTTCAAGGCAGTCAAAATACACTCAAATTTAGATGCATTTGGCCAAATATGAGCGATTTCTGACTTTTTCCCCCATAACTTTTCTACAGTGGTTCTTCAGGATCAATTGTTGTTGTTGTTTTGCAGGTTTTGTAGGTGTCATGCTGACCACTCATTCAGCCTCTGGGCCACTACAAGGTCAAATAGCAAAAATTTTAACTTTCTTTTCATATATAAAAGCATAAAGGTGAACATTTTACAATCCAAAAAGCAAAGGGTCATGAGTTCCACAGTTTACCGCTCTCATAGACCAAGGCTGACTGTCTGAAAGCTGCAGTATAGATAGATGGGAGTCAAAAGGTCACACTCTCCTTGGAGAACCTTCTCGGTGGGTGTAGAACAGCTGTGACTGAGCTGTGGTGCGGTTCTGAATCTGATGCTGTGGTCTATTTGTTATATTGACCCATGTGGCCCAGGGCAGAGCGGTTTGACCGACGCTCGCTGGGTTCACAGGGGTCCGAGGGAGAAAACGTGTCCCTGCACCACAGTCAGTTGGTACCACAGTCAAGTATTGCATTGCTGTGGCTCTTTATAAAAAAAGTTTCCTTACTTTTGGTTGTGATCTGTGACCGTTGTGCAAAGCCTTTTCTAGCATGTATCAAAGATTCTGATTAAGGTTAAGATCGGGAGGGACCATAGACTGTAAATATTATCAGACGTAGTCGTGCCTATCTCCGCCGTTGAAACTAATGTGCAACCACATTTGCCTTTTTCAAAATGTCCGTGGACAGGAAAATGTGAAAAAGGATATTCTGAAGTTCACAGTGGCTAAACTAGACTGGTCCAAAAAATAATACTCTCATCTGCATTGACAGCATCTGGAACGTCGCGTTGGGCCAAGAGCCACTTTTGGACCATCCTGTAAAGCCGATTAAAGAGGAAAGAAGACGCCGTACAAAAAACATTGGGTAATTCAATATCACATAGTGGTCAAAATAATGTGAAAAGAAAATACTGTGAGAAGATTAGAAACACTTGTTTAATTGTCTATATACATATACTTTGATAAGAACTACTTTGCTTTCATAGCAAGGGCTGCAAAGTTTCATGTTTGCTACGGCTACAAAAAGGTTGGGAAACACTGTTCTATATAATCTCCCACATATCCAAGTACACTGCTCCATCAATCATGGCATCCTCATCTTGTTTTATGGCCCAAAAAGTTCATTGTTTATTGAGCAACGTTACCATTCCCACGATGTCTCTCCCTGATGCAGACGCTGGAGCACAGATTAGGATGGTGCAGATAACGAAAACCAAACAGCCAGAAGATTTCTCTAAGTCTGCACTGTATCGTTCACTTCTGATTGTATCTACTTTTATTTTATCATCAGACCAAGTCATCTACAAACAGCTTTTTCTTTCCTTGTTTATTTTTACTGCAAACACTGTAATGTTGTGTAAACAGAAGTGGTTGGGGTTGTTTTACATGAACTTAGTTGCCTTATTGCGTTAAGATGGAAAGATTAAAGGTACAAATATAGTGATAATAACCTTAGAGTTTAATTTACTTTATCTAATAAACAAAACACAGCTACAATTCTGTATTGGTTTCACTCTATCACCTGAATAATTTATATATACACTACCTGAATGGCCTGAATCAGTGTTCAGCGGTGATGGTGGTTATGAAGCAGCGTCTCAACACGAGATCCTCCAATGACTTGATTCAAACAAGGCTCCGAAGCGTGTGGCAGAAACACTGATGTGTGACCAGAATGGTTTATGAATTATTGTTTCACAGGTGTTCCTCTGAGGGGCTTTTATACAAAGTTAATGACATCCTCTGAGGGGCTTTTATACAAAGTTAATGACAGCAGATTGAAACCATAAACGTGAACGTTAGTCCATTCTTATTTACGTAAACCGTAAATAAGAATGGACCAACTTACCAGCTCTAGGAAGTGCTCATGAACAAAGTTTTGCTGTTACTCGCTTGAGCTTCGATCTCATTGAAAAGTAAAATCCTCTAACCATCCTTGGTCTGTTGTTTGCCATTAGATCTCGATTGACAGGTCTGTCCCTGAATTTGGCTTGGGCTAGCAAATAGCGTGAGCATGTCCGTTCACTGTGGCAGCACCGCTCCCGACTGGCTCATTGGTTGCTAGGTAGTTACTATGAGAGAATTAAACACATATTCTGCCATAAAATGTAAAAAATATGAATAAATTAATAATATTGAGAACAACTATAACAAGGTTTAGCTTAGCCATAGCTACCGTCAAATCTAGCTATCATGAAATCCATTTTTGGCATTGAGGTCTATGAGGTCTGAAGTCTGATATTTTTTCTCAAATTGAATTTATCATTCGGCCCATTTGTGAACGTAGATTCATTTCATGATACATGCCTCCTATTCACTCTACATATTCTTTCAGAAATAGAGAAGAGAAATAAGCCTTGCTGAACACTTTTTTGTACACTCTCAACTATGGAGACCCAAGTTGTCTTATCTGCTAACAGTCAAGACAAGCCTTATGCTCATGCACAACAGTAACATCTTGAATCTCTGTATTCTAAAAGTCCTGCATACGGCTATGTCCCCTTTGGATTTTCTATCGAAAGACAAATGACTGCATTTTCACATTTACAGAAGAAATGCACTGACAAAGCAGTACCTGTGGACATAAGAGCTTGGGGCTTGATGCAGTGATGGGGTGATGGGTGAGTGACGGACAAATTGTGACAGGGGAGGAGTAGGGAGGCCGAGGGGAGAGGGGGGGCCCGGGCTGGAGGCGTCATGGCCGACACGCAGTCTGACAATCTGCAGCCTGCCTGTCTCCATTCTGCTCACTGTCTCCTATCTTTGCTCTGACTCAAACACTTCATGACACACGGGACACAAACAAACTTTAGGGGACACAGGAGTGAAAGGCATTGTGCGGACATGCAAACGACGAGTCAAGTTTAAGTTAGATTTATTGAAAGACACTTGATGGAGATGGAATGCTCAGATTTTACTGTTATATTGAAGTTGTAGTGAGTGAGGTCAGTGAGGGGAAGTAAGTGCAAGGAGAACCAGCTCTGTCAGCCCGAAAAGTCCCGTGGTAGAGTAACTTGAGTTAAAGTAGGGGTAACGCTAAAACCACAACAATAAAGCGATGTAATTAAGATCAGTGTAACTTGTTCCTGGCTCTAAAACGGTTTGGTTATCATTCGTCTTCACATTCGCTTGTCGTGTCCTTTGTCACATCTTTAGATCAGCCTCATCCAACAGAAGAGTGAAAAAGAGAAGACCACCCTCACTCAGCCAATCAGCTCTCAGCCTAAAGAGTAAATTAGTGACTCTCAAGGCTCCTAAGTGTGCAAATCATAACATGTTTGGATGAAGACTTTATGTTGGGACGAATTACATTATATTTAGGAAAAAAGGGAGGTTAGGTCAGTTAGAATGTGGGTTGGTAATTAATTAATAATTACATATATTTACCATTGTAATTTTAGGACCACATATGTTCACTCAGAATGCAAAATTATGTCTTTTAGAATGTGGTGCTCGAGCCTAAATACAGTGCCTTGCGAAAGTATTCGGCCCCTTGAACCTTTCAACATTTCACCACATTTCAGGCTTCAAACATAAAGATATAAAATTTTAATTTTTTGTCATTGAATCAACAACAAGTGGGACACAATCGTGAAGTGGAACGAAATTTATTGGATAATTTAAACTTTTTTAACAAATAAAAAACTGAAAAGTTGGGCGTGCAATATTATTCGGCCCCTTTACTTTCAGTGCAGCAAACTCAGTCCAGAAGTTTAGTGAGGATCTTTGAATGATCCAATGTTGTCCTAAATGACTGATGATGATAAATAGAATGCACCCGTGTGTAATCAAGTCTCCGTATAAATGCACCTGCTCTTTGATAGTCTCAGGGTTCTGTTTAAAGCGCAGAGAGAACCATGAAGACAAAGGAACACACCAGGCAGGTCCGAGATACTGTTGTGGAGAAGTTTAAAGCCGGATTTGGATACAAAAAGATTTCCCAAGCTTTAAACATCTCAAGGAGCACTGTGCAAGCAATTATATTGAAATGGAAGGAGTATCAGACCACTGCAAATCTACCAAGACCCGGCCGTCCCTCCAAACTTTCATCTCAAACAAGGAGAAGACTGATCAGAGATGCAGCCAAGAGGCCCATGATCACTCTGGATGAACTGCAGATAACTACAGCTGAGGTGGGAGAGTCTGTCCATAGGACAACAATCAGTCGCGCACTGCACAAATCTGGCCTTTATGGAAGAGTGGCAAGAAGAAAGCCATTTCTCTAAGATATCCACAAAAAGTCTCGTTTAAAGTTTGCCACAAGCCACCTGGGAGACACACCAAACATGTGGAAGAAGGTGCTCTGGTCAGATGAAACCAAAATGGAACTTATTTGGCCACAATGCAAAACGATATGTTTGGCGTAAAAGCAACACAGCTCATCACCCTGAACACACCATCCCCACTGTCAAACATGGTGGTGGCAGCATCATGGTTTGGGCCTGCTTTTCTTCAGCAGGGACAGGGAAGATGGCTAAAATTGATGGGAAGATGGATGGAGCCAAATACTGGAAGAAAACTTGTTGGAGTCTGCAAAAGACCTGAGACTGGGACGGAGATTTATCTTCCAACAGGACAATGATCCAAAACATAAAGCCAAATCTACAATGGAATGGTTCACAAATAGACGTATCCAGGTGTTAGAATGGCCAAGTCAAAGTCCAGACCTGAATCCAATCGAGAATCTGTGGAAAGAGCTGAAGACTGCTGTTCACAAACGCTCTCCATCCAACCTCACTGAGCTCGAGCTGTTTTGCAAGGAAGAATGGGAAAGAAATCCAGTCTCTCGATGTGCAAAACTGATAGAGACATACCCCAAGCGACTTGCAGCTGTAATTGCAGCAAAAGGTGGCGCTACAAAGTATTAGCGCAAGGGGGCCGAATAATATTGCACACCCCACTTTTCAGTTTTTTATTTGTTAAAAAAGTTTAAATTATCCAATACATTTTGTTCCACTTCACGATTGTGTCCCACTTGTTGTTGATTCTTGACAAAAAAAATAATTTTGATATATTTATGTTTGAAGCCTGAAATGTGGCGAAATGTTGAAAGGTTGAATACTTTCGCAAGGCACTGTAATAACCCAATACATAATCATTGTAGTTATGTATCTCAGGAATTCATTCAAGGATAGAGTTCTGGGAGGTGATGTCACATAGGCTCATGGACAGAGGATGCAAGAAATTCAAGATTGTGACATCACCATTAACTCATTCACTGCCATTGACGTCTATAGACGTCAATCTAAATCCGAGGCAGAGGTGACACTGTGGCCAGATCCAGGGAGGGAGAAGGGGGCATGTGGTGCTGTGAGGAGCAAACAGCCAGAGGAGCAGCCATGCTTACACAAAGGACCGCGGATCTGAGAAGCTCACGCAGCTAATGCTGTTTGAGAGCCTGTTCAGTCATCAAACGGATAAATATGAAGCAGCTAGATGCCACGATGCTAGTTCTTCAGGTTTTAGTTAACATGAGACTCCAGGATCCTCGGAGGCTTCTCCCTCCCTCCTCGTCCAGCAGCAGCGGCAGCAGCAGCGGCTCCTCCCCCCGTCGTAATCTGGTGAGTTGCTTTTCACTTCAACATGTTGCATTTACGAGTTTCTTTCTCCCCTTTGTCTAATGTACTATCAGCCCCTCCAGGATTTGCGCGCAATTGTTGATTTGATGAATGATTATTGCGGAGTAAAATGCTTGATTACGCGGGACATTTTTCCAAAAGTTTCCCTCTTGAGTTTGGAGGCGTGTGAGTCTGGCATGCAGCATTAGCTGCCAGGGAGCTATGGATGATGTTACCGTGTGGTTTATAGAAGGGACAGGGTGAGGTGATCCATGGCAGACCGATGAGCAACAAGTGTTAGATTTACCGCACCATGTTGTGCATTCTGCTGTGGTGCGTCAGGAGCGCGCCCGCTGCTGCTTTGGAACAGGGGGAGAGAGACTCTCTCTGTTCCTCTGATCACAGAGTCTGCGTGATTTTGCGTTCAAACATTGAGAGATTCTGGACGGAGTGATAGCAATCACTGCCTTATACTATAGTAAAAATAAACATAAAGTAACGTTTTTAGCGAATATTGAAGAGTTTTTTTTATCTCAATGTCATAGCTGCTGAAGCCAAAACACTTTTCCTTTGTGTCGTAGATTGTTGACCCCAGGACCCCAAAATTCTGCAGCAGAGCTTGATTTGGATCAGCAGCTGACTTATGCAGCTCTTCATAACTGATGAACTTCTGGATCCTGGATCTTGTTGTCAAACAGACAAAGCTGTATGCAGCACAATATTTCAGTGCACACACACAGCGTCTCCCATTCAGCAGAGAAAATGCATGGAAGCCCGTGACAGACTGCAGCTAAAAACCTTTTTTGGTTTGACATTTCTCTCTGGGTTTGTAAAAAAAAAAAAAAAAATCTGGAAATGTATTGGGAGTGTGGAGGAAGTAGATTCCACACTTCAGCAGAGTGTGGGGTCACCCAATTACTATTCTTTATAAACTAAAGTAAAATTGTTTCACAAAGTGTTCAGAAAGTGTTATTTTTACTGTATATTTGTGTACAAAGTGTTTTTATTGTATACAAGTTGAATATTTTATGTGTACATAAGACAATCCTTTGAGTGTATTGTGTGTACACGTTTAATTTGTTTAAAAATAATTATACATTAAAAATACAATTCAAAGTATTGTTTCTGTTTTGTGTCATAGTAAGAAACTTTCATACATTGTAAAATATCAGTAAAGACAAAAAAACCCACTTTTCTGCTTGAAAATGCGCGTTTCACAAAAAGGCTGTTTTCTCCAAATCTTGGTCAGGAAACAGCATTTTGTGTGAAAGTTACCTATGTTGCACTCTCAATTGCTAAAAAACTAAAAGGGTTAGAAACTTACTTTTTTTAAAAAATGAAAGCCAAGGGATAGAGCTTTCATTTGGTATGTTTCATACTTGTGTCAACTAAGGGCTCACATTTCTATGCGGTTCGGAAAAACACTAAAAATGTCCAAAATCTCTGGCAGTATGAGGGATGCTGCTTTTTAAATGGCTGGCAGTGAATGAGTTAAGCACCAAAACTTAGGAATCATCATTGATTGAAATGTCAAATCAATGACTGAAGCATTCTAAGCTGCCATCATGACATTGATCCCAAACAATGTGGTCATGTGGGCTGGGTCCAGATCTCTATAGTTTTATAGTGTATGTATTTCTTCTGTCACTTCACTTTGCATCAGTGGAAACTCCTGGTGTGTGATTCATAGAGGATGTACAGGAGTCCTCTGGCCCTCTGCAGTATTACACACTGACTTATGTAAAGAGTGCAGACATGACTAACTCTCCACACACTATGCTTTCACCTGACACAGTCAGCCCAGTGTCTGCTGATTAAACTGTTCGCCCCACTGCATTAGCTTGATGGATAGTATGAAAACAGTGGTGACAGCACACTGCAATTCCAATCCAATTTGGGACACTTTAAATTAACATCTGTTGAGATTGCATGCAGTCTAAGGCTGGCTACAGAGTACAGAATTTTAGCCCGATTTCAGCCCACAACGAGTTCAGGGAGACGTGGCCCAAGTAACAATACTGTTACTGAGATGAGTCTTTGGATTCTGTCACATCAGTGACAAAACCTCTATCTTGCTGCCATAGCGACAGATGTAGAACTGTACAACTGTACGGATGTCAAATATACATTATATCAACAATATGTTAATTTGTTATCAGGAATGACAGAAGAATTTACTTTAGATACAGTCTACAGGCCGTAAAACCTGTTAAAGCAGCGTGTCAGTTGCTATAGCGTGTCAGTTGCTACAGGACACACAGGCAACAGATTCAGATCAGATTCAGATTCAGATTTATTTGACATTTGCAGTAAAACCACATAGGAAAAACTGTGCAAGACTACCCCAGTGTGCACTAGACGACACACACCAGAGCTCTTGCCACGAACAGTAGCTCAGTTGGTAGAGCATTGGCCTTTGAGCCAGAAGGTCGTGGGATTGAGCCCAACTCAAGCCTTTCACCATCGACTCCCACTGACTACTGTCGTTGTGTCCTTGGCAAGACACTTAACCTCTGGGAACACCTGGTGCCACAGTGGGGCGGCTGCGGCTGTAAAGTATATCTGAAAAAAATTAAAAAAAAATAAAATAAATGAATCTGAATCTGAAGTGCCAAACTGTCGTTGTGTCCTTAAGCAAGACCCTTCACCCCCATTGCCTAGAATGAGTCTGTGTGTGTGTGAATGGTTGGTGGTCGGAGGGGCCGATGGCATATACTGGTTGCCTCGCTTCTGTCAGTGTGCCCCAGGGCAGCTGTGGCTACAGTAGTAGTTTATCACCACCGTGTATGGAGTGAAAGAAAACACATGACATGCAAAGCATCTTTGAGTGTCCAAAAAAGCGCTATATAAAACTGATGCATTATTATTAATAAATAATAAGTACCAACCAGGACGTTGAAATGAGCAATTACGCGGGTGCATGTGCAATGTGCTGTGCTCAACAGGTGCTTCTAGCTTAGAGATTCATTATGCATCATATCTGTGTCCAAGAAACTGTGTACAACAAAATACACAGGTAAAAGCTCACACTGCAAATCAACCACAGCAAATAGTAGTATTCAAGCAGCCAACATGCTCATGCTCTGCAGCCCCTCACATCCTCACACCTCAAACAAACTTATCCACATTTACGAGCTAAACTGTTCATTTTGTGTAAATCCGCCGATAACTTTTTTAGTTATATTACTAATTAATTAACAAACCCCTGGGGGAGGCAAATATACCACGATGTGAATGCTATGTTTCAAGTCAATATGCTTTACACAAACATTTGAAAATACCACAGAGCCTTTTATCTCTTGTTAATTAGTTTTCCAAGGCTTTCGCTCACACTTCACCACTTCTCTATCACCAATTATGCAGTTTTCCCCTTCAAATCTTCAGCTTGAGCCACTCGCCACCGCCACAACACTCCTCTCTGTCGCTATTTCTGTTTTCTGTTGAGTGCCGCAGCTCCCAGCGTTGAGTGGCCACTACAAGCCTGCGTGATTAAATCTGGGCTTGTCCACACTGTCAACAAACAGGCCCTGGCACATGCAAGGGTATAAAAGAAGACGACGTTCAAAGAGGCATGCCTCCATCTTGGATATCAAACGCCTGGCTGGGAGTGCGAATGGTGCCAGTAACCGGAGCGTCCGTCGGCGTTACAAAGACGCGGGCTGATCCTGGATACTGTTGCTAATCTCTAAAAAAAGATTGTGATGTTGAGATTAATCATCATACAAATGAGGCGGTAAATTGTTGTGATGTGAGTGGAAGTGGTTTGAGTCAAGTGTGTCAAGTTGATATGAGGTCTGTAATGCTTCTAAATATTGACACGTTGAATCTGACCTGTGTGTCTTCTTGAAACAGGATGAAATAACGTCATTCAAAAATAATTTCCATTTGCTATTGTTAGATGTTGTTACATTATGTTATGGCAAAGGTCAGAGGGCAATAGGGTCAGTCCCACAGTCTGTAAATATTAACGGACATAGTGAGGCCTATTTCCTTATGTACCTTTTCAAAATGGTTGCGAGCATCCCCTCCCGCAGGAAAATTTTGAAAAAACGCTTTTGTCCATTTGCTAGCTGGCACGACCCGTTTCCTTAGCTGAGGCTGTATCATTTGTGCATGCTTTAGATGGCTCATGCCTGACACATGGCTGAAAAAATACTTTAGTTTAAAAGTCCACAGCGGATTAACTAGGCTGGTCCAAATAAAAATAAACCCCTCAGCATTGAGCCGCGTCTGGAATGTAGTGTTGAGCCAAGAGACGACTTTTGTATCATCCCGTAAAGCCTTTTTTGAAGGGAGAAAAGACGGCATAAGAATGCATTGGATATTTCTGTTTCCGGGTGCACCACCGTAGGCAAGGAGCAAGATTACAAACATGTCAGCGTGCGTGCTCATGGGCCTTTTTGAGCCGGGACTTGCCCGCACTGATCAGTTCTTTGACGGGTCCTTAGAAAACTGTACTAAATCAATACATAGTTCCCACAGACCAATGAATGTCACATGACCTCCTCGGAGACGCCATCTTTGATGGCACGCTGCTGTGTTTGTGCATTCCATTAAACAGAAGAATGAGAATAAATGTAGATATTCAAACGCAAATTGGAAAAAAAGGGCAACTTTTGAGCAAATAATTGTATATTAATACAATGGCACCACAGTTTAACGTGCTACGGACATGTTTTACATATTTGATCAAATTATGCAGCAAAAATTAACAAGCAATGCAAACATTTCTCAAAAACTTTAGATTTAATACCAGTTGGAGCTCCATTTAATTATTTTAATTATATTAACAATTAATTTAATTAATGCTAATGCCACACGGACACTCTGGATTGCTGTTATTGTTTATTTCCGCGTTTTTGACCGTATGTTTTGGTGAATGGTGGGCAACTGATTTTTCCAGGCGTAAAGAGCAGTTTATTTTATGACACAGATCTTTTTACAGAAGCAATGCTGTTTGTGAACATTGTTTTAGCCCACCATAGAACTATTATTATCTATTTAATACATTTACGTTGCCCTCGAGAGCCTCGGACGCGACACCGATCCTCCTCATAATAAAGTAATCTAAATAATGAAACTCTCAAGTTACCAGATATCAGCATACACAAGTTAGTACTGAGTAAATTACGTCTGTCAACACATTATAAGATACGATACGCACCTGACACAAAGTGCTCCGAGCATATTCTTGCGTGTTTTGAGGGAGTTTCTTGCCTGTTTATCTTCGCAAGCCATAACCTCCGTGGTTGTTCTGACAAAAGCTTAGTCTTCTCACATTCATGAAGTCTAATGATGGGTATACTGTAAAATCCAAGTTTACCGGAAACTCCGGCACGATTTGAACATCCATTGACCCAGCAGGAGATGACCATTTTCAACTTTATCACGACATTAACACGTTTCAGCTTCTTTTTCTATTGTTTTGCCCACAGAATGCCAACACAAATGGCGCCGGGTCGGCAAATCCCCGTATGTAGTGACGTCATGTGGGAACTATGTATAGGTTTGGGCCATTTTGGTTAACGCATTACTGAATGTACTTTGAACAGTCCAACATTTCAGATACATCATTTATTTGGTTGGGACAGTGCATGTTAATAAACACACCTCTCTGGTTTGT